CTGTTATTAGACAGATGCTCAGTTTCCCTCTGTCGCCTCTTACGACACTCACGGGAAGATATGGGTTAATCCTTAATAATGCGTGATCACGCTGGTCTTCAATTTCTTGAGGATATTGCAATGAAAACTCCGCAATGAAATGCAGTACATTTAATATGCTATTTAATTAGTAATTACAAATAATTAAATTTAAAGCTTGTTGCTGTGTGCGGAGCTCGAAGCGTAATGGCCGGGACCGGCCAGTTCGTTCCCATGCGTGACGTCACTCTTGGACGCGTTCAAGATTTAACATCCTCCCCCCCCCCCCCTCAAAGTCTTCAGGATTTTGAGGTGCTCCTGTTGTAGATGAATTTGTCAAGGGACACAGGTTGTGGACAGCCCGACGCACAATGCCATTCTTCGTGTATACATCTGCAACTCGTACAATTCCATCAGAACCAGGATATAATTTATGTATTCGCGCCATACGCCATTTCAACGGTGGTAAATTAGCTTCTTTTATAATTGCCAAATCCCCTTCCTTAAATGCTTGTTGGTTAACCTGCCCTTTGTGCCGTTGTTGCAATTCGCTTAAATATTCCTTTCGCCAGCGTTCCCAGAAGTGTTGACGCAGCTTTTCAAGACAGCGGTACCTATCGAGTCTATTTAAATTAATGTCTAGTAAATTTTCCGATGGTAGTGACGTAAGCGGCCTGCCGATCAAGAAGTGCGCTGGTGTTAAAGGATTGAGGTCATTGGGGTCTGAGGAAAGAGGGGTTAATGGCCTGGAATTAAGGATTGCCTCAATTTGCGCAAATAAAGTAGACAACTCCTCAAACGTAAGATGTTTGTCGCCTAATATTCTAGTTGCGTGGTACTTAGCAGACTTGACACCTGCCTCCCAAAGTCCGCCAAAATGCGGGGAATACGGAGGGGAAAATTTAAATTGTATGCCTTCATCGGCTGCAAAACCAGATATGCTTTCACTGTTAAATTTGAAAAAATTAGTAATTTCATTATTTGCACCGACAAAATTTTTACCATTGTCACAATATAATTTAAGAGGCTTTACTCTTCGGGATATAAAACGTCTTAAACATAGTATAAAAATATCGGTAGTGAGATCGCTTGCTACTTCGAGATGCAAGGCTTTTGTAGCGAAACAAATAAATAAACTCAAATAACATTTTGTTATTTTACAACCGCGACCTTTACGGTCAGTAATAAAAAAAGGCCCGGCAAAGTCCACACCGCTTACGTGAAAAGGAAGATTTGGAGTTACTCTAGTTGCTGGCAAATTACCCATTATAGGAATAAAACACTTTGCCTTTATTCTTTTACACAGTTGGCAGTTGTTGACAGTGGGTCTTGCTAATACTCTACCTCTTAAAGGCCAAAATTTGCTTCTTATATCGGTCAGTAAGAGTTGAGGTCCACAATGTAAAAGTTTTTTATGATAGTGAACAAATAGTAATTTACAAAAGGTATTTTTCGTTTCTAATAAAATTGGGTATTTTCTTTCGTAAGCTTCATTGGAGTTTTTAGTACGGCCGCCAACGCGAACTATTTCACGTGCATCGATAAATGGACTTAATGCCAATAAGCGGGACTTATTTGGTAAGTTTCCCTTAGACTTTAAAACCTTAATTTCATCTGCGAAGCATTCGTTCTGATGTTGTTTTATTAATATTTCTAAAGATGACTCTAATTCCTTGGTTGTTAAGGGGCCAGTGAATTTGTGATGTTTATGTTTGAGGTTATGAATAAAACATAGAACGTAAGCTAAAGATCTTTGTAATGTTGTGAACCTTGAAAATCTTTCCACATTTACTATCATTGACTGGCTAACAGCTAAAGTAGTATTTGATGAACACGTAGATTGTAGTGTAGTTGTAGATTGTACTGTAGTTGAGGCGTGTAGTGTAGTTGTAGGTTCTAGTGTTTTAGTATAAGCTTTCATTTCAGGTAAATTACAAATATTTTTAATATTTATAATTTTGGGCCAATTACACGAGTTTTCGGTTAAAAACAACGGTCCTTGCCACCAAAGCGTGGCAGAATTAATTAATTTAGGATTTAAACCGCGTGACGCTAGATCTGCTGGGTTTTTATCTCCAGGGACGTGCCTCCAAACATCTGCACTAGTAAGTTCTCTTATTTCACCAACGCGGTTTGAAACGAATGGTTTCAAATCGCATGGTTGAGAGGATAGCCAGCCCAAAACTATTGTAGAGTCAGTCCAATGATAGACTGAATCAATTTTGCAACGAATAGCCTTTAATACTTTAACACTTAATCGTGCCGAAAGCAAGGCACCACACAGTTCCAATCGAGGTATTGTCGTTGGTTTAACTGGAGCAACTTTAGTTTTCGCACAAAGTAATCTGACCAGAACATTACCTGAACCATCAACTGATCTGAGATAGACTGCAGAAGCATATGCTACTTGTGAAGCATCCGAGAATGTATGTAAGTCTATCACTACAGGTTTATTAATGAGGACGCATCTAGGTACTTCAATGAACGATACGGTGTTTAAATTATTTATGAAACCTTGCCATTTTGCCTTTAATACATTATCCACCGAATCATCCCAATCAAGTTTTGTCAACCATAATTTTTGTAGCATTATTTTAGGTATGATGGTACAAAGACTAAGCAAACCTAGTGGGTCGAATAACTTGGCTGAATTGGACAAAATCGTTCTTTTGGTAATATTTTGATCTAACTGTATGTTAACTGGAAATCGAAGAACGTCCTTAGTTGGATCCCATTTCAGACCTAAAACGCTGGATTGCGTAGTCAAGTCTAAATTTTTTGGCAACGATGTATTTGATTCACCTTGAAGGTGAATATGTGCATTAGTTCGCCATTTTCTTAGCGGAAAGCAGGCTGTACTGAGAACTGTAGTGACTGATTTAATTATATTTTGTAATTCACTTTCAGTTTCAGCGCCAGAAAGAAAGTCATCAACATAAAAGTCTGTCTTTATTAATTGTGCTATTTTATTATCTTTGCATTCTTTTGAAAGTTGCAATAGACAACGTGTTCTCAGAAATGGCGTCGATGCCATTCCATACGTCACTGTATTTAATTGATATATTTTAATTTGCTGTGATGGTTCGTCACGCCATAAAATAATTTGCAAATTTCGCTGATTTGGATCTACCATGATTTGGCGATACATTTTTTCCACATCTGCTGTGACAACGTATTTATGTTGCCGATATCTTAACAAAATTGAAAATAAATCATTCTGTACTACAGGGCCGATATGTTGTATGTCGTTAAGTGATATTCCGGTAGACGTTTTTGCAGAAGCATCAAAAACTACACGAAGCTTCGTAGTCTCACTATTTTCTCTAATTACAGCATGATGTGGAAGATAACAACCGAATAGAGGCTTAGAAACATTGGTCATGTGACTTAAACGCTCATATTCTTTAATAAAATGTTGATATTCTTGTTTTAATTTATCGTTGTTGTTTAATTTTTTCTCAAGTTGGAAAAACCTTTTTTCTGCAATATTGTATGAATCACCTAAAATTTCCACAGAATCTTTTAGTGGAATTTGTACACAAAATCTACCGTCGTCTTCACGGCGAGTAGTTGTATTAAATACTGTTTCACAATAATTGTCTTCATTGTACGTAACATTAGGAACTTCTTCAAGTTCCCAGAACTTTGATAATTGTTTGCGAATCTCATTCAAAAATTTACATTGTATATTTGAATTGTTACTGTTAAAATAACCTTCTCCCATGGGGCCAGCCACTATCCACCCTAATTGTGTTTCTAGTAATATTGGCCTTTGAGGCCCCAAATTTATTCTATTCGTTCCAATCAGCGCCCAAAATGTGTCAGCACCCAATAGTAAATCAATATCGGAAGGTTGGTAAAACTTTGGATCTGCAAGTTGTACATTGTTTGGAATACCTAATTCTTGATAACGAATTGTAGCATGAGGGAGACAATCAGTAATTTTAGGAAGAATATAGCATTTAACTGATATATTAAATGAATTATATAGTGAATGTATCCGTATTGAGCAATGTTCAGTAATATTTAAAACAGTATTACCTATACCTGACACACATTTGTAAGATTCCTTTATTTTGTAAAAGCCCATTTTCTTTTGAGCCCCTTCACTAATAAAAGATGACTGGCTGCCACAATCTAGTAAAGCCCTCAGCATAAAAACCTTGTTATTGTTTGTCATTTTTACCAACGCAGTAGAAAGAACGGCTTGATTTGTGGAGACAGCAGACATAGAAACAAGAGAAGAGGGGCTGGGTACGTTTGAGTCAACTGTAATGTTAGGTAAGTTTGCTTCACTTGTTTTTGTAAAATTATTATTATTAGTAGATGTTAGCTCTTGTAGGTTTTGTTGTGGTGTAGTTTTGCTTTGTTGTGGTATAAGTTGTGGCATGCGTATAATTTGTGAGGAATGTTGTTTATGTAATAGAGTGTTGTGTTTTTTCTTGCAAATTCTACAGCCACTCAACTTGCACTGAAATGCCTGATGGCCGCCGCGAAAGCAGTTGCTACATAATTTTGATAGGGAAATCTTAGAAATACGCTCTTCAACAGGTAAAGATTTAAATTTTAAACACTCATATAATTTATGACCTTGGTTACAGATTGCACACTGCTTGTCAAAGGAGGACTGGGTAAAAGAAGTAACAAATGAATTCGTTTTTGTTGCACTATAACGTTTTTCATTTTTGCATGACCTATTAGCATTCATGGTTTCCAAAACCATTGCGCGTTGACGAAGAAATGAATAGAACTCTTCTAAGTTAGGAGAAATTGTATTGCTTCGAAATTCCTCCCATTTCCTAGCAGTCGCACTGTCTAACCTTGTCGAGGCAATATAAATAATAATTGTATCCCATTTGTCAGTAGGTTCACCTAAAGAATTTAAAGCACTCAGATTTTTCGATAACGTATCAATTAAATTACGAATGCCAGCCTCAGTCTCTTTATGCAACGGTTCAATTGAAAATAGCCCCTTTATGTCTCTAGCTATATATATATCTAGAAAATAGCTCATTTATCAATAAACGCTTATTATCATACCGTTCGCAAAGTAGTTGCCAAGCGGTTGCATAATTTTTAGAAGATACAGTAACAGAGTTAATGGCAGAAGAAACATTTCCCTCTAAATATGATTTAAGGTAATGAAATTTACTAATATCGTCAATATTTTCATTGTTGTGAATTAAAGATAAATATGTATCCCTAAAGGAAAGCCACTTATTTGGAGCGCCGTCAAAAGGTGGGATTTTTAAAGGCGGTAACTTTAAATTGCTATAACTATTACATGTTTGGTTGCATGAAGGTTCAACCCTATTTGAATTTTCGAAAAACTCTAACAAGGATTGAGCTTGAGCAATCAAATAAAAAAATGAATTCTCTGTTGTCTCGCGTTCTTCTACTTGTTTGCCAGTGTCTTCATTCAACATCTCAATTTTTGATTGAACTTCCTCAAAGGTACATGAAAGGTCACGTAATTTATTTAATCGAAGATTGAGCTCATGTATCTTCAATGTATTAGTTTCTTTGCAATGCATTAAGGGTGTTAAATATTTTTCAAATAGAGTAAGTCGAGCTCTAATATGACCCCTTTGTTTAATAAGTTCTTTTAATTCACTCATTTTGACGGTGTAAATAACTTCGCAAAAGGTAAATATACAGGTAATTTAGTTCACACTAAATGTACAATGTTAACAATAAACAGTGAATACTTTACGTTCAATGAAGCGACGAGTTAATAAACCGGTTTTGCAGGCGATGATTGCACGACGATTGATATTGTTCTTGTTGCAACAGCAAATCTTCGTTACCGGAATACGCCTGGAATAGTCGGCAACTATGTTTAATATCTACAATTCCTTTAAATCTTTTAAAATTGGGGCGTTGCAAAATAAATATATAGATTATACCACTATATTTAGAATGCAATATGTTTTCTTTAATTGCAAACTATAAATAAAATAAATATTAAGGTTATTTTAATTGTTTTACAATTATGAACACTAGTTAACTTGAATTGCAATGTTTGCGTAATGATATGAAACTACTATTATATATTGTTTTGTTAAGAATGCTTATTTATACTTAAATTGACGTTGCATGTAATAAATTATTCGTTAAATTGACGTACAATGAACGTAATTCAATTACTAACAAGTAATAATTTTAGCGTTTTTATATTTTGAAGATGGCGGTAGATGTATGTAGCCAAAGGCGTTGTCCACGTTAAAGACTACGCAAATTGAAACAGGTAGGATGGATGAATAGAAAGGAAAATAAAAAAGAACTTCCCTCGGAACAATGGCTGCAGCTGGTGGCTGGCGGATTCCTTGAGGTTGGGTTCGTCTTAGTTCGGTATATTTTTCGAAATCTTCGATATGCTGGATGTTTTTCTCGCATAAATCACGTCGGGGTCACCATATTGATCACGCTGGTCTTCAATTTCTTGAGGATATTGCAATGAAAACTCCGCAATGAAATGCAGTACATGAACATGAAATTTGAGACATTATAACACAGGGGCACGCCGCTGTCTCGGGGGGGCGTCTCCAGTCTTCTATGCTCACCATATAAAACAGCAGCATCAAGCTGCTATTTTACGCTGGTAACCTATGAAAGCGTGGTCCTTATCCGGTCGAGCTAGCGCATTTGAACTAAGTACAATTATGATATAGCTGCACCGTGGCAATATTAGGTCATTGCCAGAAAGTTATAGAATCATAATCAATTTTTAATACGACTGCAAAACACTGATTTTTACATTAAGTGTAATTTCTAGATATTGTTCGCTAAAATCGTATCGCTATATATGCAGTTTATTTTCAGTAAATTTCTTACGCAATAATAATTTGCAATACAAAAGCGATACTTAAGAGCTGAGGAAATTGAGTTCAGATGTGTAATTGCCCATTTCACGTGAATTTTGCGGTTTCTTCACAGGCATTACTGTGTCTTTCTTATCGTATATTTAAGTCGTTTACTTTTACACGGTACTAACAGGAAATGATATGCAATAATACTGGATAAAATCTTAATACCTACTTTATTTAAATGGGAAGAAATCAATAATCGACAAAAATTTACTCGTTTTAACATTGATGTATTCATCGAGTTTTTTTTTTTAAGTAAAAAAAATGCGCCAGCTAAAATGCGTTGTTAAATAGTTACCTATCCACGCCACGTTCTTACAGAATACCAGCGTAATACTGCAGAAAAATACTGTAGTTAGTACTGTGGTATGGTACGTGTAGAGAACCGGAGATCCTTTTTCTGCCTGGTAACAAAGCATTGGTGCTTCCCTTTGTTGGGAGGATTTGACTTAATCGTCACGCTTTACAGGTGGAATAACGATCGCAGTACCTATGCCGCTGGCACCTTTAACGCTGCAGCTCATTTCCTGTCTGGGTATTAACGAAACCAAAAAGGTGGTACCACCATCCATCGGAAGCCAAATAGTATTTTTGTGGCATTTACTATAGTCACGTCTAATGACACCCATGAGACGCAATAGTGTGATGAATTATCTTACCCTGCCATCATATTACTGTCTATTGGTTGATAATTTATCCATGGCTGAAGGTATACAATTTCATTAATATTCATTACTGCACCCAGCTTGTACATTCTTCTGAGGAACTATTTCTAGGCTTAGAAAAGCTATTGAATAGAAGTTAAAGGTAAAATGTCAACTCTGAGATTTGTTAATCCAAGTTGGAGTGTCTCTTTTGGGAGCCATTAATGCAGTGCCATAATCTTCGTACGGATAGATCGCGGGCTACCACAGCTAACCGGTATAAAAAAATAAATCAAATAATAAAAGGATAATATAAGGTTATAACGCAACCCCATACAAATTTTAACTTAAACATGATATTAACTTTTGTGATCATTTTACATTAATTAAAGTAAAAGTTTTATATTTCATGTGTTCATTGAAACCTCTTAATACTTTTATAAATTAGCTTTTAGAGAGATTTTTGCTTATGCTACGGTCTACACCATCCATTGTAGGCTAGAAGTCAACTGCTAAACAAAGGCCTCCTCCTCTTATTTTGAGTTACTATCAGGAAGATGATGCAGCCTCTTTCCCGTTTCAGTTACCCTCTATTGTCTCTTATGTCTCCCACGGAACAATATGGGATAGTAGCTATTCTTACACTGCCACTACATAGTGGCCATGTATGGGTATATACATAAGTGATTTAGATAAAAACAATACGTTCAGTCAGTTTATAAGGCTTACAGTCAACTAGTAAGTATTAAATTGAATTTGAAATTGATCTACAAACAGTAAAATAGCTTTCCATTCGCTGAGTGACGTTGATTTATCGAATAGTTTTACCTTAACAAATTTGTACCGGTAACATACGATAGGTTAGACGGGATAAATCGTTAAACTAAGTTTTTTATTATATTACCGTTTAGTTTTAATATATATTATGTCATAATTAAATGAAGAGGTTAATTGTTAAATAATAATAGTGTGAGAGCGGATGTTAAACTTGATCTCTTGCTTACGCAATAAATCATTGTCAGTAATAAAACAGCGTACCGCACTATACAATCAGTATAGAGCATAATATACACTTCAACCATACCGTAATACCTACGTTCCGGTCATAATGGCCGTATTTACAACATGATAACGCCAAAATAAATAAAGTATGCAAACCAACAACAACAATGCTTATCTCAATGGAACACAGGGCAGCCTCTCCACAATACGACCTTATTTACTTGTACTAAAGGAATAACCACAACATACAAAATAACGACACTAAGATTCATATAATAACTGCCCTTCAATGTTTCGACGCATCGAACTTTACACTACTGATACGAGAGGACGTTTTAAGAACTATCTTCACTTCCGTCTGTCCCTCTTCCATTTCTACTTTCTGTCTCCGACATATATATTTAAAATAAAATTGAACTTACAAATAAACTTATGATCCCCACCTGTTAGTAAGTGGCTACAGCAACCTATGAACACTTTTTTCCTTTTAAAATGGGGAAATACCTACGCATACCCGTCTTGCGTGGGCAAGAATGGGTTATGTCGGACTCGCGCTGCCTAAAATCCCATGGTGTTCCACCTTCGCCGCATATTGGCAGGGCCACGGGAATGCTTTCGCACACATCCGCTGCCCCAATATCGCCGGCCGCCCCATAAAGGCCTCTCCTCGGGACCTATGAACACCTGCAGCAAGCTGTTATTCTGTGAGAGTGTGGTCCTTCCCGTTCCAAGCAACACATTCGTGCTACAACTATAAAATAGCTGGAGCATCACTCTACTTCGTATAAAGATAGTACTACATTTAAATTAAATTCTAAATAAATAATTATCATTTAGCAACCTCTACATATACGTTCTTTAGATGGGCTGACTTCCTTCCATTACTGAGAGAGTAATGAAGCAAGTAGACGTTGCTTTTTCACATTTCTCGAAGTATTTCATTGCCCAGATATGCAGGTTTCCTCGAAAGATTTCTCTCAACGCCAAGCACGTGGTAAATTAGCACATAAATTTGCAATTAACGATTTCATTGGCGTCGTCGGCAATCAAACCTGGGTTTGCTCGCGTACTGTGAAATTTCTAGCGAGTGTCTCTTAAGCTACGACAGATCCGTAAGACAATTATTATAAATACTTGTTGGAGCGTCTATAAAATACCGGTTGAATCGAGGTGGAATTAAGGGTATATCGAGAAACCCCCACTCGTTTGTATAAAGTTCACTGTAGGCGCCGTGCGCGAGAGATTCCGCTTAAGTCATTTTAAGAATGTAGTCATTCTACTAGTGCTAAGATAATGTCGTGGTTCTGTTCGTTTTTGTAATGTTTCTAGTGCAGGCAAAGAGGATTGGTGTTGCTGAGAAGCTGCCCTGTGTTACACTGAGATAAGTAGCGTTGATGTTGCTTTGCATACTTTTGTGTTATCATGTAATTACGTACCACATGTAATTACGTACGTTACAATGGTGTGTGATTGTGGTGGGGAGGTGTTACGGTATGGTCGAACTGTAATTACTCTATACTGAATGTATAGTGCGTTATGCTGTCTTATTACTGATAATGATTAATTGCGTAAGCAAGAGAGCAATTTGAACATCCGCTCTCACACTTTTATTTTTTTAACAATTAACGCTATCCTGATGTATTTTCGAGATTAAAATTCCGTTGAAGTTGAATCCTCGATGTACGGATATTGTTTATACAAATATTATAAACTCGTCAAGGAAGTGAGTGGGTTTACTATATGATAACACATCACTTCTGCCTAAGTGTCCATCTTAGTTACCAAACATCTATGTCTGCCACCAAGCAGTAGACAGATGTTGATCTGATGATAGATGTACATGTCTATAGCCAGAAGAAAAAGAAAAATATAGGAGTAACCAAAGACTGACCAGAGAGAGTTTTAATTATAAAATTCGTATCCGTAAAAAAAAATTGTATCCCGAACGGTTCGCGGTCTAGGCCATGTTTTATAAAATTCTAACTAGATCGGATTTTTTTCTTTTAATGTGTTCCCTAATAATGATGTTTCTAAATTACCCTTAAAAGATTTCAACTATTATGGGTAGTATTTTTTAAGATTTTATATAATAAGATTTTACAAAAC